ACTGTTAAAATTGGCGTGCATAGAAGTTTGACGATGAATATTTTTTAAACGCTTTATTTAATCGACTAATCATAAGAGACCATTTTTGTAGAACAGTTAATTTGCTATAACACTATGAATTGCGCATTTCATAATGATATTTTGTTAACGAGTTATAAAATTCATAAGTAAAACAGAAATTTGTCTTAGAATCAAACTTCAACCTNAGAGTCAATGATTCATTAAATCTTGAAAAAATAACGTTTTTGTTAGAAATTTATTATGAAAAGTATTAATCTTAAAGAAAAAAAAATGTTCAATTTGTTATTAAAAAGTTTTTTTATTTAATTATCAAGCGAGTTATAAAATTTCAAACATTTTGGTTTTGTGCTGATTTTTTTTTAACTTTTTTGTAATTTTAACCATTGAGTTTGATAGCGAAGAATTTTTTTGACTGCATTAGGAGCTCTACTAGTTGGAATCTGATTTTTTTTCCACAGTTCAATAACTTGGTCAACTGAATTTTTAGCACTTTGTTTGATTGAACACTTTAAAATTTTCAGTTGATAGAATAACACTCATAACCTCTTTTACTGTTGGTAACTTACGTTCCAAAATTTTTTGCATAGATATAGCGATCAAACGAATTTCCTTATCCATTATATTTATAGGGTAATTAATAATAAATAAATTTATGTACCGATTATAAGACTTATTTGTAATTAATTATCTTATCACGTATACGAGATCATGAGTTTTAGAATCACTGAAGATGCGGTACGAAACGTATAGATACTAAAGTTGAGAATAAAAAACATAGATGGCGTTAGTTTCACAAGACAAACAGAAGAAGTAATGAAATTCAAAACAAAAATCCCCTAGAACGAAAAATTTTATGTATATTTTGTGGAAAAAGTTTTGAAATACGTTCTGAACACACGCTTTCAAAAAAAAAAATAACAAAATCGGGATTTTATATTAGATAAAATTTATAAAAATATTATCAGAATAAAAGTTTCAAATAAATTTTCGAACAAAGAACTTCTCTATAATACTTTATACGATAGAAACTCAAATTTGTATAAATTTCCCTGAAACTCATAAATTAAATTGAAATTTTCCGAATTATTAATCAAAAACTGTTAAAATTGGCGTGCATTAAATAAAAAAAACTTTTTAATAACAAGTTGAACATTTTTTTTTCTTTAAGATTAATACTTTTCATAATAAATGTCTAACAAAAGCGTTATTTTTTCAAGATTTAATGAATCATTGACTCTCAGTCAGAAATAATGCACTAATTTTTTTTCGTTGTAACCAAACATGCTAACGACTAAAAAAAACTAGAAAAATAGTTTAAAACATTTCTCCGTTCATAGAAACTCAAATTTGTATAAATTTTCCTGAAACTCATAAACTAAATTGAAATTTTCCGAATTATTAATAAAAAACTGTTAAAATTGGCGTGCATTGAAGTTTGACGATGAATACCTTTTAAACGTTTTATTTAATCGACTAATCATAAGAGACCATTTTTGTAGAGCAGTTAATTTCCTACAACACTATGAATTGCGCATTTCATAATGATTTTTTGTTAACGAGTTATAAAATTCATAAGCAAAACAGAAATTTGTCATAAAAATAATCAAACTTCAACCTTTAATATCTTTTAAACGGTGAAAATTGTAAGAGACCTTTTTTGTAGAGCGTTCAATTTCCTACAAGTATATGAGGAGAGATATTTTTAACGAACAGTTGATAGAGAGATATGAATTTTTTTTTCTAATACTGTGGAAAAAATGGAAAACTGTAAAGCGGAGGACCTTCCTATTAAAATTAAGAGCTCATATTTGGA